AGGGAACAGCTACTCGCCGGAACAATGGAACAATAAGAGGATCGAAATGCACCAATCACAGCCGACCTTTATGATATAAATGATACTGTGCAATCAGTCGACCTTATCGCCTGAAGAAGACTAGCAGTGAGCAGTCGAAACGTCGCGATCTACATCTCAAGTGACTACACTTTATTATTGCTCCTTGATGTGTGACATTGCATGTGAAACTGATACACACCTTGTCTAAATTAACATAGTTTGTAATAATAGTATTCTAGTTGCTTATGTCTGAGCATATTACACTGTTACTTTTTTTTTGGTTACTTGTACCTTTTTTCTATTGTTTATTCTTGTTTAATTTTGTTGAAAATTATCTCTATTTTCTTTCTTTCTTTCCTTTTTAATACGAATTCTTGTCCCCGCCTCGATTATTTCTGGAACTAGTTACTGGGGCAAGCAACTGTAACTGTATGAAAGAAAACAATAAAATTAATGCTCAAGCTTAGCTAATATAAATAAGTATTAACACAAGCAATTTCTTATAAATATTTCCCCTTTGTTCGCTTGATGATAATTCGCTGCTTTTAGCTTAGGCACTGGCAAGAACACTTTTTGTGACTGAAGGATAAGCCTTCCTCGCAGAACTGCAGATACCCAACAAACCTATCACATTCCCAAACCTCAAATATTGTTGTGTTTGTGTTTGTTTAGTCTATCTCTGGAGGCTCACTCAGAAACAAGAGGAAAGCAAAGTGAACAACTATAAATCCAACAACTAGCCTAGGAACGAAGTTTCATTAAATCTTGACCTGGCTGTTTACAATTAGCTCTGCCCGGACGGAACTCCCTTGGCAGCCTCCGCCCATAAGAAACGAGATGTTCTTGCCCACGATACGGAAGCATGGGAATGTAAGAGTTCCCTGGGCAGGGTCCCCTTGAATTTGGCCTGCCGGGTCATACGGGGAGGGACACTTCGGTACCTCCTATCCACCAGTCCGCCTGTTGTTTGGCGACCTCTCTGCCACGCGCTGTTGGATTATCACCAAAAGTAGGCTGGTTATCAACGCTATACCAGTCTTTTTCCATCCTCCGATACCGTCTTCGAAATCGAAGCTGCAGGCTGCGTGAAAAAGAAAAGAACAGTAAGAACCTCTACAACATTAAACGTTCCCCTCTAAATACTATAACAAATCGCCGCGATTTTCCAAGAACTGATGTGAACCTTTTACGAAGCTAATCAGAGAGGGCATCATCAACAGTTAAAGCAGAAAACTCTACCCTCACAGTAAAGCCAATTTGTTGTCACAGAACTAAGTCATTTCAGCTTGCCAGTAATTAAACTAAACCACTGATTCAGATTCCCTATCGCCTGCGGTCTATCTTTTTAGCAACGTTGCAGAACAAGAAGCTTTTCATATCCTAGTATAATTATCGGATAATGTTCGATCAATTCCGGTTATTATCTGACTGGAAGACTCTATGACGTCATGTAACGACAATGACGTCATGACCATCAACAGCCATCTTAGGCCTAGGGCAAACGTCGAATCCAAGTCGCGTCGAATAAATTAAAAATAGGTGCGACAAAGATTCGACTTAATTCCAGCGTGGTAGCAAAAGTCGAACCTGCGTCGATCCTATGTCACAAGTTGCACTTCATTAAAACACGGGAATAAGCGCGTGTCCCCGCGCTATTCACTCGATGCGCGACTAGTTGCTGCCAGGACTTGCTAGCGAAATGCCAATACTCAGACATACTTCAGACAACGGTAGACCCGGCGCGGCTCTCTTTAGGTCC